AATGAGGAGGCACTGTGGAGCCAATGGAAGGACTGCATGTATGGTTAATAATGAGGAGGCACTGTGGAGCCAATGGAAGGACTGCATGTATGGTTAGTAATGAGGAGGCACTGTGGAGCCAATGGAAGGACTGCATGTATGGTTAGTAATGAGGAGGCACTGTGGAGCGCGCCCACGGCTCCTTGAAAACAACTGAAAAGGATAAACGCTGCAGACAGATCTGGCATGGCGACACCAAGGTGACCTTTGCTAAGGCAAGGTGAAAAGGCCTTTGCAATGAATTATAAAAAGACCCGGCCTATATTAGCTTGGGGTTGAGGATGTTTGTGCTTTTCAGGCAGAAAGGAAAGAAGGCTGGATGAGATGACTGCTTCTACAGCAAAGGAGCGGCAGACCCGATGACATCGCAGCTGCAAACGCCCGCCCCATAGAGGAGCTGGAGAGGAGTCCATGTCCAGTCTCCCGGGCACCCAGAGAGAGGAGTGCCGGTCTGCAGGACCTGCTACCACTGCTCTGCGCTGCAGGGTGCCATGCTGCTCTGAGGACAGATGCTGAGCTGCCTCTAGACACACAGAACACACACAGACCCAGAGGACCTGCTGCAGGACGACTGCAGTTTTCTGCAGCCTGAATCCTGTTTGCTTTGGAGCTGAACTAGAAATGCAGACTGAACATTTGACTGCTTTAATCTTTGGGACACAGACCTCATTTTGATTGAAATATTGGACCTGAGAACTAAGACCTAAGCTTTCCCCTCAGGGAAAGACTCAGTAAGGAATGACTGAAGCCGCTCTTAAGAGGGGGCAGCCTGAGGGTTTAACTGCTGCTCAGAGACTGGAACTGGTATGTGATAGCAGCAATGTCATTGTTCTCACCCATCAGAAAAGCTTTTCTTGTCTTTTGATTAATATGGATTTAAGAAGATTGTGATATGTTAAATTGTGGATTTATTGTTAATTCCCATTCTAGAATTATGGTATTGACCTGGTAATGTTTGTAGCTGCTTATAAGATGTTGAGAAAAGTTTGACACAACCTGTAAATGTTTGGGTTTAATGCATATGTAAAGAATTTTAGATTTTGATACAATGTAAAGAAATTTAAGAGGTGCTCTAGAGCATCTGAAGAAACATTTTCAACTCAGGCCATCCCCCACTCCTTTAACTAGGAGACTACAGCCTTTAGGAGCACGATTGTTCATAAAACATTACGATCTCTCCTGACTAGAAGGTATGGCTCCGAGACACAGAGCCCACAGGTATCTCTCTCCCTAATCTCCTTTGTTCACAGAGGTCGGCAGTCAGGGGTTTGAAGCTTCTTCTCCCCAGGTGCCTAAGACAGGAGCTCGCATGAATGGAATGCCTGTTCTAAGGACACGTAAATTTGGGTAAATAAAGGAGTCTTTGCCTAAGACAGACTTGATAATCTGTCCTGTTGCAGAAGCACAGGTTTTATTAAAATTAATAAGAGGGAGTGAATTGTAGGGCCATATTATACAGGCCCATATTTCTACATTGTATGGCGGCCAGGATTTCAGGCCACAGTTTGCACCTGGCCACACAGAAGATGGTCACCTAGCCTTTCCAGACAAACTGACGCCATCCTAAACAAAGGGTCAGGATCTGCTAATGTTGCCCTGCTCCTTCTTTGTAATTTGGGAGGTCACCTGGGAAAGAGGTGTTAATTCAGTCTACGTGACAGAGCAGACATAGATAAAGACATGACAAAACGGGCATAGAAAGTATGGATGTGGGTTGGAGAGATGGCTCAGAGGTAAGAGCACTGTCTGCTCTTCCAGAGGTCCTGAGTTCAATCCCAGCAACCACATGGTGGCTCACAATGAGATCTGGTACCATCTTTTGGCCTGCAGGCAGACAGAACACTGTATGCATAATAAATAAATAAATCTTTTTTTTTTTTTTAAAAAAAAAAGGTGTGGACATGACCAGAGTCATTCTCTCAGCTACCTAGGAAACAGAATGCTAATGAATTTCCCCCTCAGTCTATGTTTTGGTATAAAAGCTGTTTGGACAATAAATGCAGGTCAGTGTTTCAGGATGTGAACTCAGGATTTCATGAAGGATCCCTGAAAACTCCTCCCAATAAAGTCATGTCTTTATTCCCATGCCTCTCTGCTGGTCCGAGAAATAACTTATGGTCCGGGCTGGTCCTGGACCACGGCATGCCAGCCCGGGCTGGTCCTGGACCACGGCATGCCACCATTGCCCGACTTCTAACATCCATTCTTACACACACATGGGGGGGGCTAGGGAAAGAATTTTCATGAATTGTGATTATACAGAATGGAGTGGTCAAGGAGTCAGTAGAGATGAGAGAGTGCTAGACAGACAGCTCAGGGGTGAGAGCACTTACTCTGTTCTAGCTGATGTGATAAAACACAGATCAAAACAGACTCGGGAAGAAAGGGTTTATTTCAGTTTATCCCTCTACAGTCACAGTCCATCTTGGAGGGCAGTCAGGGCAGGAGCTCGAGGCAGGAATCTGGAGGCAGGAACGAGAGCAGAGGCCATGGAGTGCTGTTTAGCAGCTTGCTCTTCTGGCTTGGTCAGCTACTTTTCCTAGAGATGGCACTGCCCGTGTGGGCTGGGTCTTGCTACATTAATCGGCAATGAAGAAAATGCCTCATAGACTTATCCATAGGCCAATACGCTAGAGGTATTTTCTTCAGATAAATCAAGTTGGCAATCAAGATTGGCCATCACACTGTGCATCCATGAGGGTCTGAAATGCAAATCTTAGCATCCATGTAAAAAGCTGAGCATGGTCACATGTCTATAGCTCTACCACTGTGGAAGGTAGAGACGGAAGGAGGCTATGGGCCTGGCTCCAGGTTCAGTGAGAGACTGTCTCAGCAAGTGATAGAAGACACATGACATCCTGCTCTGGCCTCTGAGTATATGCATATGCAAACACATACCCACATGTGTGCACCACACACAGAGACATATATCAGAGTACACTGACAGGCTATCTGAGAACGAGCAGGAACTAATGATCTTGAAGAGATATGGAAGCTTTCAGAATACATAATAGGAATAACCCCAGTGGTTGAGAGCACTGGCTGCTCTTCCACAGGACCCAGGTTCAATTCCCAGCACCCACATGGTGGCTCACAGCCATCTGTATCTCCAGCTCCAAGGGATCAGAATCCTCTTCTGGTCTCCTTGAGCACTAGGCATTCAAGTACACAGACATATATGCAGACAAAAGATGAAAAGGCCAGACCCATGAATAGGGAAATTCATTTAACATTATTAGTGCTCTCCAAAAATACATTTATACGCAACTTAAGGCTACAATGAAGTTTTTAAAAATTTGTGTGTGCACCTGGAGGTCAGAGGTCAACCTCCAGTGACAGAGTTCCACCTTGTTTTCTGAGACAGCAGGCCTCTCACTGGGCCCCAGGAATCCCCCCTTTACATCAGCAGTGCTGGGACTACAAGCACATGACACCTCATGCAGGTTTCCATCGGGTTTTGGGGACAAACCTGGGTCACCATTCTTTCAAAGCAAGCATTTTACAGGCTATGCTCACTCCCAACCCTAATTTTTTTGAGGCAGGACATTTAGCCAAAGCTGATCCCAAACTTCTCCTGATCCTCCTGCCTCATCCTCCACATTCTGGGATTACAGGCATGAGCCCCCACCACTTGGTTTTGGAAGTCTTTAAAAACTATGAGATAAAAACAAATAATATACCCCTAAAAAAACAAAAACAAAACAAAAAAACCCTATGAAATAGCTGGGTATGATGGCACACACCTTTAATCCGAGCACTCCAGATGCAGAGGCAGGTGGATTTCTGAGTTGGAAGCCAGCCTGGTCTACATAGTGAGTTCAGGGACAGCCAGGAAAACACAGAGAAACTGTTTTGAAAAACCAAGATAAATAAGTAAAAAGTATAAAAACAGTTTACTTGCATAGGAAGAGTTCCATCTCTTTATGTTTTCTTTCAAGACAGGGATTCTCTGTGTAGCCTGGAACTCACGCAGTAGAGCCACCGTCCTCTGCTGGAATTAAAGGGCTATGCCACCATCACCTGGCTAGAAGAGCTCCTTCCCTTGCTAGATGAGGGTGCTCATACCTGTAACCCAGAGTTTGGAGACTGAGACAGGCGAGTCCTTAAGTTTCATGCCAGCATGAGTTAACAGTGAGATTCTGTCTTAAATCAAACATGACAAAACACATCCTAAGAGTCAGTGGTTGGAGATGCTCAGAGGCTGAGAGCACCTGTGCTCTTGTAGAAGACCCAGGTTTGGTTTCTAACACCCACATGGTGACTCATAGCCATCTATAGTTCTACTTCCAAAAAATCCAGTGCCCTCTTCTGGCCTTCTGGGGCACTGCAATATATAGTAGACAAACCTAAATGCAGACAACAGCTCACACATATTGAAGATAAATAAAACCTTTAAAATATGAGACTCAGTACCTTAAAGACAGCAATTATCCCCTGGCGATAAGAAATAGGATTCCAATAAAAAATTTTGTCTGAAATAATAGTAGTATAGTAGTAATATATAAAAGTAATAATGGATGTGGTGGTTCATGCCTTTAATCCAAGCAGGCAGGGGCAGAGGCAGGTGAATCTCTGAGTTCAAGCCCAGCCTGGTCTACAGAGTCATTTCCAGGATAGTCGGAGTTACACAGAGAGGTGGTTTCAATGCCCCCTCCAAGTAAACAGGAGCAGAACAAGCAGGAACTCCAGAGCACGGGTGGGCTCAGCCCAGAAAACTTAGGAGCTCTTCAGAGGAGCTGCTTTGCTAAGTGAAAAGTGGGTCCTTCCCTCAGACTATTTCGCCTCTGAATAAATCCCAAACGGTCCAAGATGAAAAAAATGACATTTTGCTGGGCAGTGGTGGCGCATGCCTTTAACCCCAGCACTCGGGAGGCAGAGGCAGGCGGATCTCTGAGTTCGAGGCCAGCCTGGTCTACAAGAGCTAGTTCCAGGACAGGCTCCAAAGCTACAGAGAAACCCTGTCTCGAAAAACCTAAAAAAACAAAACAAAAAACAACAACAAAAAAACCCCAAAAAACCAAAAACCAAAACAAACAAAACAAAACAAAAAACCCAAAACCAAAATATGACATCTTTCACACACTCCAAAGAAACTTTGGGATTCAAAATATTGCACAATCTAGGGAAAGCAGGGTAAACAATCCAGGCAGTTGTGTCGACTCTGTGGGTATCACACAAGCCTGCTAACCTGAGTTTGGTCCCCTGAACCCACATCAAGAATAAAAGTCTTTCAGAAAAGCCAGCCAAACAACTGGAAAAATATATCTGCAACTCATATCACAAACTATTGTCATACCTAATGCCACTAATACACAATCAACAACTAGAGTCAGTAAAAAAAAATCGAGGGGAGAAGTGGATAGAGAATGTGGACAGTCATCCGGGTGGCGGTGGTGCACACCTTTAATCCCAGCATTTGGGAAGCAGAGGCAGGCGGATCTTAGAGTTGGAGACCAGCCTAGTCTACAGAGGAGTCTAGCCAAGTTCTAGGACAGCCAGGGTCAGCATTCAGGAAGCAGAGGACAGAGGCAGGTGGATCTGAGTTGGAGTCCAGTCAACTACAGAGCAAGTTCCAGGACAGCCAGGGCTATACAGAGAAACCCTGTCTCAAAATACAAAACCAAACCAAAAAAAAAAAAAAAATGTGGACAGTCATGAGAGAGGAAAAGTCAGATTTTTGTCGTGCTGGGAACCAGACCTAGAGACTTACTTTAGCATTCTAGGCAGGGGCTCTATCACTGAGCCAAGCCCCCAGCCCCTCAGTGGGGTTAGTGTGCTATCATCAGGTTATTCTAGACGAGTATGCTATCACTGAGAAAGCCCCCTTTTGATTCTTAAATGAAAAGAGAGCTTATGTTAAATCCTTGAAACTGATACACCTTTTTCTACCATCAGGCTGGTAATCACTATACATCTGACAGTTGAACATATTGGCGAGACAATCAGAAAATATCCATTTACCAACCTCTGGTGGGAGTGTACAGAGATCAATCAGTCGTATCTGTAAAGTTACAAAGGCAACCTTCTGGCCCAGGAGTGTCACTTCTACAAATCAGAGTTCAGACATGACCAAGAGCAAAAAGCCTAAGAAGCAAGTGAGATGTACCATCAATTTTATGGAAACTTAAAGGGAAAAGAAGAAAAAAGTGGTCTATATCACCATCAAGTATAAGACGTCTTCCAACTTGAGACAGTAAACATGAGAAATGAGTTCAGAACTAAAGCAGCGCCGGTGATAAACACAGGAGAGGGGCTTTCACACTGCCAGGGGAAAAGGATGGGAAACGGCCCAAGTGTCCACCAGCAAACTTCTGGTTCATCACAGCATACCCACAGAATGCAAACACAGCTTTAAGGAATAAATATACTGGCTGGGAAGGTTCTTCAAGATATTTCCTTAATAAAATCACAACATGTAAACCAAAATACATCAACTTTGTGACAAAATAAAAAAAATAAATATATATTGTGTATACATAATAAAAGTAGGAAGGAAACTGACTCTGGGGGCAGCATTAGGTGTGGGGACAAGAAGGGGTCATATTCTTGGGGCTTATGAATAGATGACTTACAAAAAAAATCAAGAAAAAGAAAAACTTTTGGAAAATGGAATCAAAATTCCAGAAATTTGATATGTTTGAAAACACTATTTATCACATACTATATACAATATTTATGTTGCTTGCTATTTCCAATGTCTCAGAAACACAAAATCAGTCTTAACTCTACAGTTTCACTGACTCGGACATGAGAGAAGGCGTGCTCCACAAAGGTCAAGTACTTGACATAAACTTGGTCCTGAAACCAGTTTAAACTTTCACGCTGATCTTTCTTCCTCGTGGGCTCTTTTACTGGCAATTTTCTTTAAGTCTCAAAATTTTACAAAACCATCCTTTGCTTACTAACGAAGCCACATGGATGGATGTTTTCCATAACACAAGAACTCTCAACCAATCATAAACTCAAGAAACGTCACAGGAGTCTAAGGATGCTTTGGACATTTCCTCCCCAAATTTCTGACGCTTTTTTTCCTCCCTCCAACGATGCACACTGACTTATTCTCAAGTTCCTTTTGACTTCCGAAAACCAAGTTGCAGGATGGGGTTTGTCTTGGATGCCGAGGTCTTCTTGATGCCGTGCCCACCCTCGCCTGCCTCCTCACTCTCTATGGATGAACTTATCGCAACCCAGTTCTTCTATGAGAGGATTGATCACCTCCGACGCAGTCAGGGCTATGGTAAACGTTAAAATGTCAAAATCCACCCTCTGAGGGTTGCGCAGGTACTCTATGTCGAAGGCTGCCTCCCGGGCTCTGCAGGCCTCCACGAAGCGCCGCCGGCGCTCCTCCAGCTCCTGGATCCGGCCCGGGGCGATCGGATAGTTCTCCAGGTAGTGGCGCAGGAACTGCTGGTAATTGATGCCCAAGACGCTGAGGGGGTGGCGGAGGCGCAGGTACGGCATCGCCGCCAAGCCGCCCGCCCTGGACCGGGGCCTGCCCTCGGGCGCCTCCTCCTCCAGCGGCTCGCCCAGCAGCCGGGCCACCTCCGCCATCCGGGCTTCCCTGGACGCCGCCGCCATCAG